ACTTAGCCAGCCAGCCACAAGACACTCTAAACGTTGCTATAATATGATGAAAAATCTAGATGATAATGGAGATACTAACTGGACCTCTTCAGTTAGAACATTGTTATTTCAATACGGTTATGCACATGTATGGATCCACCAAACAGTTGGAGATCCTAATATGTTCTTAAAGCTATTCAAACAACGCTGTAGAGATATATATTACCAAGAATGGTCATCCGATATTGCAAGCTCCAAATATTTGTATGCATATTCACTATTTAAACATGACATTGTCCATGAAACATATTTAGAAGTATTATCCTCTATGCAACTCCGCAGATCTCTTACAAAATTTAGATGTGGCATCAGTAAACTGAATGTACAAACCTATAGAAGATCCAAAGATGATGATATCAGTTCTGCCATGTGCGCTCATTGCGTCAATATTGTCCAGGACGAGTACCATGTTCTGTTACAATGTCCTGTTTTTTCTGATTTACGCATCAGGTATATACCACAATATTATTGTGTAAATCCCAACATACAGAAGTTTGTAAATTTACTTAACACCCAAAATGCAAATGTTATTTTACGCCTAGCCATATTTGTAAACAAAATCCATAACGTTTTATGATACTTATAAATGCCAGTGTACTTCTCATGCCAGCGCTCCAAAGAACATGATGTCAAAATGTCACTGTACTATTGGCCTCATGGCCACTCTACGAAATAAATCTGTCTGTCTATTTCTAATTTCTTTCATTTCTTCTTCTTTTAGTGTCTTTTAGATAAATCAGCAAGAAGTGTCTGTCTACAACAATACATTAGGTGATGTAGATAATGGAGGCAAACAGTATATAAATGAGAACACATTTCAATACTAGCAAAATGAAATACGAAATACATATACCTCTTAAAACCCGTGAACAAAATCTATCGGCAATCGATAGATATACATGGCGCCATCTTGAATCTTGTTACTACAAAAAGACGAACTCTCTTCTGGAAAAAGTCTGACATTAATGTTTGTTTCTGTGAATTTCCCTTACATTTATCCACAAATTCGCAGACGCTTGCCAAGTGGGAAAAATGTTCATTGTTTGTACCTGGGACTGACTTGAGAAATTCCTCTGCCATGATATACATATCATGAATAGTAATAACCGAATGAAAGCTGCTATATAACGCAACCGATTTGATTGAGTTAACATCTAAAATTATGTAATTTACATTTTCGTCTTTAGATTAGACATATTTTATTTGATATTCAGAGTTATTATTTAGAAGAATGGCTACACCATTGGGGTTTGGAGCAATGACACACTCAAAGCCCCATTCATTTCTCATTGTGTTCGCATACTCTGTGGAAATATGTATGTCTTGTAAACATATAATAGAGAATTTCTTTTTTCTATATAAATTCATGATTTCTCTACGTCTACATTTTTTGGCTAGACCTCTGCAATCGAATGACACTATGCTAATTTATTTATTTGTGCCCAGGATTAACTAATCTTGAAGTAATAGTAACTTGGCAGAGAGTAATTGTGCTTCTGTATCCAAGTGAAAATGTTATTATTTATTTTAGTATAACAATAATAGATACAATAAGAACAAAGAAAATTACGTGGTTGCCATGGGCAATTTCTCTGAAAGAGACACATGTCATTGTATTCCAGTTAGGTAGATTGATGCTCATACTGTAGATCACTGGATTGTCCGGTCAAGACACGAGTATTTACAGACCACTGCTAATTAGCTGGAATATTGTTGAGTACGGCGTTAATGAACAAAACAACCAACTGGCATATGCCAGTAACCTGATCAATGAAATCAATGTTATTCGAAAGACCAACTGGCGTGCTAACACACACAAACAAAGCGAATATATGAGCATGATATTGCGAAGCAAATCGATAAAGTTACATAATGACGGCCATAATCTCTCTTCCACTCCTCCCTCCCTAGCAACAAACTGTAAATATCGTTGTACAGCGGCGTTATAACGAGGTCCGTTAATGGCAGGCGATTCATTTTGAATATGGAAACGTCAAAATTATGATATAACATTGCGGCAACAGCTGACTGAGTGATTAATGTTTTTACAGTATTTCAGCAATATATTCACGACATTATAGCATGGACTTTTGTCCGAGAGAAGCCTTCTTCATGGAAGAATGGGATTGTGACATTAGTTACAAGTTGTTATCCCCACTCGGTGACCAGTGTCTTTGAAAAATAAAATTTGAATAGACACAATGTATTTCATAATACATGAAAATACTTGCAAATACCACTCACATACATACCACACAATCCTTGGGGATATCAACTGTGCTATTTTGTACCCATTTTATGTAATATTATTTTAAACTTTTTCTGCACTTTTCCGAGGCAGTTATTTGATCTTATAATATAAGGTCGGGATGCAAACCTCCCAAAAACCCATGGGTTTCCAATTAGTCTCCCATTGGCTGCTCCTCAGCAGTTTAGATGTTATCTGCCCATGAGTGGCAGGACTGTAACGGCTAGGGGTGCCTGGCAAGAGTCTGGTGATGTCAAAGGTTAACCTTGGAATTTACTACTAGAAAAAACATGTGCATTATTGTAAATGGCGCAACAACCCTTTCATTACATATTTTGATGACTAAAAAGATGAATTTGATTAGCATATTTCAAATTTTGCTTATTTTCTGAAAATAAATTCTTCAACATGGTGATGTCAGCATCAAACAAGTGTACACCCATAACCCTGCACAGCATGGGGTCAGGGGTAGGGGTGAAATATGGCTTAATTTCATCATGAACCGGAAAGTCAATTTTGTGGTATTTCATGGAATGCACTTTAATACTGCATTGCTTTGCATCGAAAAACAGCTTTAACAAGGCAAGGAGGCCACACCCTATCTGTGTATAGGTTTGAACCCCGGCATTTAAGGGTTTGGTTTTGTCCTGAAGGTAGTGTCGTGATCGTGAAAGTGGGGTGGAGGTTGTTTTGGTCGTTTGTTTGTTGTTTAACACTCAACAATATTCCAGCTATATTGTGTGTAAATAAATCTGGACCAGACAGTCTAGTTATGAACATAAGTATCGATACACGCTATAGGGATACGATGACATGTGTCAACCAATGAGGTTGGGGTTTTTCTCGCTGCCTGGTGGGTGAGTGATTTGGTACTATGATAATTTCATTTCAGACTGGGGAGCGGAAGGTTAGCCTAATGGTGAAAGTACTCGGACAAAAGTCCTATTGTAATAAAAGCTATTTATTCATCAACTTTGAGGTCCAAGATTTTAGAAAAACATTGATAACTCACACATATGGGCTATTTAATGGATCTTTTATCTTTTTTAATGACACTTATAAACACATAAAGTATTCACATACAAAGGGTGATTAAAAGGACGTATTAAATAGTTAGATAGGTACTAGGTCTTTGATCTTTTTAATTGACATTTAGAAACATGAAGTACTTACATTTTTTGTGTTTTCAAAGGCATCAGTTGTAAGTGTCAAATTGTGTTACTTTTACATGAAGTACTTACATTTTGTGATTATAACGGACAGATTAGATATTCAAATCGATCTTTGATCTTTAAAATAATGTTTTCAAAAGCATGAGTTGTAAGTGTCAAAGTGTCTTACATTTACTTGAAGTACTTACATTTACTTGAAGTACTTACATTTACTTGAAGTACTTACATTTACTTGAAGTACTTACATTTTCGTGAGTATACATTAATATTCATCAGTATTAACCTCTGTCTGTTTTACATTTGTTGTATGAATATATCAATAAACACTGTGAAAAACTATGAAGTACTTTTTATTCCTTTTCAAAAATCTCCTTTTTCAAAATAGGACGTTTTTCCGGAGGACTTTTCCTAGGTAAATTTAGAACTTTTTCCGGTACTTTTTTCCGCACACCGTGAAACAGTCCCAGGTTATTGTAGCTCTGTTGAGTGATTCTATCCTTGAGCAAAGTCGCTTGAGATCGAATGTTAGAGAGTGTGATGCAATCCTGCTCCCTTTGTTTATCCGAACGAAATACGGGGATAAAAAGTTTGGGTTGCCTTGTTTCGGTCGCGTACACGAGATACGGACTCCTTCAGATAAGGCGGAAGGGTAGTAACATGTACCAAATGACGCTTTCCCCTGCCCTCTTTCCCCAACCTCGTGTAGACTTTATTATCAAGGGTGGAGATACACATAAGCTTATCACCTCTGCCAATATATCCCACCTGGTACACATACTTTCTTAATTCGAAATACTTCAACAATGACATCTGATGGTATAGCTTGTTTTGTGAATATTTTAAATATAGATGCAGATATAATTTTCAGTCCCTAACACGAGCTACGGTTGTAACGAACGTAGGGGACTACAGCATACAGTAAGCTACTGTAAAACAAAGTGGACTTAAAGTGACCACTAATTTTAACTCGTTATAACACTGCTTCGACACATGCATCACAAGCAAAATATGAATGTGGCCGGGTAAAAAACAATAGTTCGTTATACGTGTACTCGTTATAAACGAGGGGACCGTTGATAATGTATGGCTGGGGGTGGGGGTGGGAGTGTTGCTGATTGTACGAGGGGCACCCATTTTGTTCTGGGGAGCGAGGGAGGGCATCAATTTTGAACACATGCACTTTTGGGGGTCAACAATTTTGTACATAAACACATTTAAAAATTATGCTTAAAATCAAAATACTAATGCTTATGGGAAGGGGCATTAATTTGTACATGATCTACGGAGGGGGCACATACTTTGTACATAAATTTTAGATAGGGTCATTCATACGTATTGTTGTTTTTCTGGTGCGGTATAAGGAGGAAGGACAGGAATCAGTTTAATTGGGCCGTCACCACGTGGACATCTCCACCTGGTGTATAGACCAGGACGCTCAGGTTAAACAAACAAAAGGCGCATAGGCTCCCTTGCTGTAACAGGAATAATATACTCCGTCGTGAAAGGAAAAGAGGGAATAAGAATCCAAATAAATTTCTCACCTGTTAAAACACAATGTTTCCTGCAGCGCATTGTCATGGCTATCAAAAATATACACCCCAGTCGAATATCAGCTCTCGTCGGGCACAGGGAAACATTGGATATTATGCAATGCGGCGTCCGCTTGTCAAACACGGTTAGTCGTTGGAGCTGCTAATCAAATATTGCTCGCTTCGTGTCAGCCCACACTTAACAACGATCGGTAGCAGACAGCGTCGCTGAGCGGTCCAGGAAGACGGTTGGGAAACCCATTATACGTAGGTTTGTGATACGAAATATGACACCATAAAGGTCACCGGAACTAGCGTGTCTTAGCCAAAGGTCAGTGAAAACGGTCTACTCCCATTTGTGAGAACTCCCAGTTGTGAAACAGTGAACTAGGTAGTTAGCAAAGAAAACACACCTTACTCCCCTATCTGATAGAATGGATTAACCCCAGCTAATTATGGATTAGCTATTAACTGAATCTTGTGGAGGTAACTTAATAAAACTCTAAAAGATAAAGTAATTAACCTACTCAGATAAATGGCTTTAAAAAATGACTGCTCTTTCGGATCACCATTATGGCAGGCCTTCAACAAGTAGAATATATCGCCTGTTCACGATAATCTTTTTCAGTATTTCAGTATCTATTGTAAACAATAAATGCTCTTCAACGAACAATGTCTTCTGTGTTGATTAACTCATTAATGAACTATGCCTCCTGCGGGTACTCTTCAGCAACAGGGATGGGGAAGCACCACCTGTGTACACTGAACCATTAATTAATGTGTCTCACAACTGGGAGTTCTCACAAATGGGAGGACACCGTGAAAACACGTAGGGTCATGGCGGAAACCTAAAACGCTGTGTGAATGAGGAAGATGTGGGACTGTTCAGCAGACGGAGAAAAAAGACTGAAGCCTGGGGGAGATATACAATTTTGTGTTGATCACCAGCGACGGAGCTTCGCCTCAGATGTCGTTGCTTTTGAAGAGATTTGTCACAGAGCGTTTGATTTGATTTGAGACCGATGCATTGCTCACTAACACAAAATCTAATGCATGCAACAAAACCAAATTTTGCACAGTCACATGAAATCGACAGACCAACTCTGATGATTTGTCTCATAATCTCGGACATCCGAACAAAAAAGTTGTTAAAGACACTATCATTATTCTGTTGTCACCTTTCGCTATGTTTTACGAGGGGAGACCACATTCTGGGAGAACAGCAAGGTGTGCGAGTTGCATGTGTGAAATTGAGATTTCATTACACACGCCTGTTGATTACCTGGCTGTTCTACCAGCAAGCCCGCCCACCACTACCACCACCACCACACACACACACACACACACACACACACACACACACACACACACACACTTTCAAGTGACCGTGCAAAATATGATTTTGCTGCATTAATACATTAGATTTTGTGTCAGTGAACAATTCATCGGTCTCAAATTACATCAAACGGACTGTACGTTTGGATCGGTACGTTTGGATCGATACGCTCGGCTCCCGAAACGTCCCACAAATGCGTCTGTGTGTAATTAAAATTATAATTCTACAATACTGTAATTAACTCAGGACCACAGCTGGTAATTGTTTGATTTGAGATGATCTGTATCACGTACAGGGCTAGTGGTAACCTTGCTGCAAGGTTGTGCTGAATGCTAGGCCCATGGATGTAAAGTAATTCTATCCTTTAAAGGTGCAAGTTTAGATAAGTGGACAGTACATGGGAGCCAGTCTGTTAGAGGGACAATGTGTTAATTTTATTTTATATCTTCAGACATTATCATTAAAACTATTAATTATTACCCCAGAGGCTAGCGCGAGTCTGGGCTTTTAACGTGTGACAAACACGGAGACTATTAACGTGTTTGTCGAGACCTGGGGATTCAAAGTCTGATGTGTAAAACAACAATCCTTATCACAGTTTTATCATGAAACTAACCCGACAAGATTAAACATAAACAAACCTTTTCAAAAGATTAAACCTCGTCATTTAACACCAGGCTACAGAGCTCCAACAACCGAAGCTGGACTACCACAGAGAGTGAGTTAATACTGTCACCCGGCTCGTTATGGGATAACAAGTTTAAATCCTTAAAATAGAATGTAGAATTCCTTAAAGGTCACATGCAACGTAAAACACAACTTTGCAGATTCTGATATCTTTAGGTATGGACTTACCGAAACAAAGTGTCAAAAATGCAAATTCAACTTATAAAGTTGAAAAATAACGCGATGAAAAAAAACGCGCGAAATCGGAGTTCAAACGTTTCACTAATTTTCCCCAGACTTTTCTGGGGAATACGGGTTTCAACAGCTGGGCTGCGCTCATAGCACGTGCGCAGTGAAATAGGTTCGCGCAACTTGGAAGCGGGCTGTCTGGTGAATACTCGGTGAAGGCTTTTGTTTTGTTGATATCTCACAGGCGCGAGCTTTTTATATGTTATCACAGTAAATAAACTGTTTATATAATTTCATTTGTCTATTTCACCACACGTTCTTCTTACCGAGTCACTTTCTCAGTTCGATACTTAAAAGCAATGTCATTATTTAGCATTGACACAATTTTTAACTGTGATATAGATATGTCGCTGTCACAGACAAAACTCAATGTCTTGTTTTATTGACACCTGTGTGTCTGCCTGCCTGTCTGCTAATGACAATATTCAATACACAACTTCGATCACTGACCACATGCAATTTGAACTTAACACCAATCAGGCTATACACCATAAACAAAACGCATTGATTTATGGCCCGAGTTTGGTCTCTGTCACATTATGTAATTACACAGACAGGCAGGTGTGATAGTTGAACACATGACATGTTATGATGTCTGTTGATTGCAAAATGTTATACACAAAAAATGAGCATGTATTTACAAAACCCAACATCTCTATATATACACACACAATAAGCCGTGAAGGCGGCATCTGCTAATGAACCAGCCGTTACACTTGAGTGCACACCCACCCGCTCTGACTGGGTTCGGTATCCCGGAGGTAAACCCAAGTACAAAATATTGCACTTTTGATTTGCGATTATACGCTTATAATTTTGTTTATTTGTTTTTTCATAATCAGCAATGCATATTATATGTCATGAATAAGTGATAATTGTGTTTTAATTATGTTTGATTTTTTTGTTGCATGTGACCTTTAAGTCAATGATCAGTCAAGGAGATGTTTCAACATTTATTGTCAATCAATCAATCATCCTTTTTATTACTATAAGTTAACAAATACATGCAAAGCATAATGGGAGTATTTTTAAAAAATATATCACTTTTAGGCTATGGCTTGAAACAAATCCAGCAATTATGTACAGGTAAACTAATCATGTCATGTTGACAGACATTATAATGGAAATAAATTTACATAGATTTCTTAATTGCTTCATATTATGAGTTTCAAATAGGGCTGACATTTTATAATAGTTAGGGTTGTTTACATAATAATTCTTTAAATACATATTTCTGGAAGCAGTAAATTTATTACATTGAAATAAATAATGAAACTCATCTCCGAGTTGGGAGGGACATGACGGACAGAATCGTTTATTTCAGGGAATATTTTCCCAGCGACCTGTTTCAATAGGTAATTTATGGTTGGCGGTTTTAAATTTGATTAAAATATTACAGTGCTTTGTTCCTAAGTTACGTTCTAGTAAAGAGATTTCATAATGAGATTTCATACATTCGTAGATAGCAGCTTTAGAGGAAGATGTTATTGGGTTGTTAAGCAATTGAAGCGATTGATCTGAGTTGGACAGCATTTTTGAACCAAGAAAAGGAAACTGTATCTTGAGAGTGCCATATATTGGACATACCAATTTTATCTAATGTGATTTTAATGTAATTGAGCCATTTATAGTTTTGGTTGTATTTCATTGAGTTTGTTAATGATATTTGATATAATGCTGTTAACGTAGAATTACATTTTCCGGATACTATTTTAGACCAGAAACAACATGCGCAGTTTGATTTTATCAATTAGAGGTGATATTCCTGTTTCACGATACAACATATATGTTGGGGTACTGCGTCTTAGGTTTAAAATATATCTAATAAAATCAGTATGAATCCTTTCAATTGCTTTTACATTTTCAAATCCCCATATTTCGCACCCATAGAGCAAAATAGGGAAAATAGTACAATGAAATAAATAGAGTTTACATTCTATAGACATGTTAATATTTCTTAATTGCTTGTACAACAGATGCATTGCTTTATTGGCCTGGGTAATATTAGATTTTCTGGTATTTGCATACGAACGATTGTTACTGACAACAACGCCAAGGTATTTATATAAGCTCGATAATATCTTGTCCGATCATAAAATTTCCTGTTCTTCTTACCGAAGGTTACTGTGGTATTTTGAGGTCAAGGGTGCCGATCGGATATCACTGACCTCTTTTTATAGACGAAAACATCACTGATCAATGTTGGAATTCTTTGCGATTGGCCAAAACATATAATACGGTAATTACGATTTTGGTTGGTTGACATAGATCAGATATTTTTACGAACAGTTACTGATTGGACATGCCGAAAGGAGTTTTGGAGGTGTAGTCACGTGACCGTGACAGGATAATTGCATCAGCTTAATTACGGTTTGTTTTACAACCCGTGTCTGGATTAGGTTTTATAGCTGACGTCACACGACCGTGTCACAATGGTAATAGGCGTCAATTAGGTCATATTAATTGCAGTGTGTTTATACAGTTGTGGCCTGGACGTCTGCACGGTGGTCATTAAGAAATCTCCTGGTGCAGAAAACAATGGATTGAGTTTTAAGTTGACACTTTCAATGGTATATGGCTTATCTGTGGTGATTTTAATGCCAGGATAAGTAATCATCTGGACTATGTTCAGGGTGTGGATGGAGTACCAGAGAGAAAGGTAATTATCACAAAGATAATTCCTATGGTCAGCTGTTCCTGGATTTCCTGGTGGAAGCTAATTTGTGTGTACTGAACGGTAGACTGGGCAGTCAGGATTACACATGCATCAGATTTTAATGTGATAAAAATATCGGACATCATTGATGGATCCAACGTCCCCGTAAGTATTCCCGATCATTCTGTTCTTAGGTGGGAAATGTTGCTTCCTCCCAGCAAGGATAAATGTGACGTTATCTCGAGTAACAAGTCTGACCGGTACAACGCCAATACGATTTCCAACCAGTTCTGCAGGAAAATGAACTATTGGGAAGGATAAACTCTGTAATTAGAAATATTGAAACAAA